GCAGAAACAGAGAGATTAGCTTCTTTCTGAAAGTATCACAGTAACTGGAAAGATCCATGAATTGGTTCCTTAGTTTTGTTTATTTACTCTTTGATTTTTGCTTCTTTCAGCCATATTTTATAGTCTCTGTACATAGATCTTGCATATATTTTGTCAGATTTATTACTAAATATTTTTTATTGTTTGAAACTATTGTAAATTGTATTTTTTAAAATTTAAATTTCTGATTGTTGCTAGTATCTAGAAATAGAAATTATTTTTTGCATATTGATTTTATATCTTGCACCCTTGATAAACTTACTGATTAATTCTAGTGGTATTTTTTTGAATAAATTTCATTGGATTTTCTATGTAGACGATAGTGGTTTTCTGTGAATAAAGTTGGTTTTATTTCTTCCTTTCCAATATGAATGTCTTTTATTTCTTTTTTCTTGCCTTGTGGCATTGTCTAGAACTTATACAATGTTGAATCAAAGGATGAGAGTGGACATCCTTGATTTGTTCCTGTTCTTAGGTAGAAGACATTCAGTTTGAAGTTTTATGTTAGCTGTAGTTTTTTGTAGATGCCCTCTATCAGGTTGAGGAAGTTTCCTTCTGTTTTGTATTTGTTGCGTTTTATTATGAATGGGTGCTAGATTTTGTCATATGCTTTTTCTGAGTCTACTGAAATGATGGTATGATTTTATTTTATTTTATATTTTTCAATCCTCACCCAAGGACATTTTTATTTTTTCTCTTTATCTTCAGATAGACTGGGAGGGAGGGAGGAGAGAGAACATCGACATGAGAGGGACATATCAACTGGGTTGCCTCCCGCATGACCCCAACCAGGGCCGGGGATGAACTGCAACCAAGGTACCTGCCCTTGCCTGGAATTGAACCTGCGACTCATTGGTCTGCGGGCTGAAGCTCTAACCATGGAGCAAAATTGGCCAGGGATGATTATATGATTTTTAAAGAGGTCTGTTGTATCAGATGTCTCCTGCTGCGTAAAAAATTACCCCAGCATACAGCATCTTAAAACAACAAATATATACTTTTTATCTCACAATTTTTTGTGGGTCTACAGTCCAGGTTCTTCTTAGCTGGATGCCTCTGGCTCAGGGTCTCTCGTGAAGTTCTAGCCCAGCAGAAGGCCAGGACTGTGGTCACACTGAAGGACAACACGGGCGCCCCTCCACAGGGCTGCCTTGTGCTGTGGCCGCTGGCTTTCCCCGGAGCTCGTGGTCTCAGAGAGACGGAGAGGGAGAGAGTACCCACCCGCAGCCGCAGTCTCTTACTGTCTTTTCTCAGAAGTGAGAGCCAGGACTTCTGCCTTGTGCTATTTATTGATACACATCAATAATTGCAGCCCACACTCAAGATCTGGGGACTAAGTAAGAGTGTGAATACCTGGAAGGTGGCCAACACTGGGGGCCATTTATGAGACTTTCTACCATTTTGGAAGAATATTAAAATGATGAATTACCCACTCTTGAATGTCAGGCTTGCCTTTCTGGGATTAATACTATTTTTTCATGATTTATTATCCTTTTTATATATTATTGGATTTAATTTGTGTAAAATGTGCCCATAATTTTTGCTTTTATATTTATGGGAGAAGTTTTCTTATAATGTTTTTGTCTGGTTTTGGTGTTGGAATGATGCTGGCTTCGTAAATTGAGTTTGGGAAGTATTCCTTCTTCAGTTTTTTTGGAGGACTTTCTGCAGAACTGGTATTAGTTCTTCCTTCAGAGCTTGGTTTACTCCACCAGTGGTGCTGTCTGCCCTTGGAATTTTCTTTTGATAAGGTTTTTGGTTACAAATTTAATTTTATTAATAGACATAGGCCTATTCAGGTGTTGTATTTTTTCTTGAGGAAGCTTTGGCAGTCTTTGTTTCGTTTAATTTGCTGACTTTATTGGCGTGGGGTTGTTCATAATATCTGTAGCATCTGTATTGAAGTCACCACTTTCATTTCTGATATTGGCAACGTATGTTTTTTACCGTTGTCTTTATGAATCTGTCTAGAGCTTTATCTTCTTTTTTTAATCTTCTCTGAAAACCAGCTTTTGGTTTCATTGATTTTCTTTATTGTTTTCTATTTCATTTATTTTCACTCTGATATTTATTCATTATTTCTCTACTTCTTATCTGGGCTTTCAGTTATCCTTCTTTTTCTAGTATATATATAGTTTTTTATCCTCACCCGAGGATATTTTTCCATTTGTCCTCAGATTATCTTCAGATAGAGTAGGCAGGGGTTGTGGGGGGTTTGGGGGAGGAGAGAGAGAAAGAAAGAAACATCGATGTGAAAGAGAGGCATTGACTGACTTGTTGCCTCCCGCATGAGCCTGACCAGGGCCAGGGACGAACTGCAACCAAGGTGCGTGCCCTTGACTGGAATCGAACCCATGACTCATTGGTCTGCCGGCCGACGCTCTAACCGCTGAGCCAAACTGGCCAGGGCTTTATTTCTGGTATTTTAAGTTGTAATCTCATTTCTTTGACATCTTTCATCTTTTCTACTATATGCATTTAGTACTATCATTTTTTTTTGCAGCTGAAGTGCTACTTTAGCATCCTGCCATTTTGATATTTTGTATTATCTTCATTTAGTTGAAGATACTTTCTGTTTCTCCTTTTGCATTATTTAGTTTCCAAATATTTGCTGTGATACTTATCTCTTCAGGTACTTCCCTTCCACCCCCTGACTCCTTTTAAAGATATTTCTTTGTGACTGGTTTTAAGCAGTATAATATTGATGTGCCTTCGTGTCATTTTCTTTGTATTTCTTGTATGTGGAGTTCATTGACTTCTCAGGCCCAGGTGCTTATATTTTATAAATATAATTCAGTTTCTTCAGTTATGTGGGTGGTTTTACATCCACATCACCTATATTGGGTGTTGCTTTCACATCCTTAAGGACACATAAACCCTTAAAAAGGTTCTGTGCATCTAATCTCCTTGTGATAAATTGTGAGTTTTTGGTCATGAGTAGAGAACTGTGTTTTTATTTTTAAAAAATCCTCACCCAGGATATTTTTCCATTTGTCTTCAGATAGAGTGGGACGGAAGGAGGGAGGTGTGGGTGGGAGGGAGAGAGAGAGAAAGAGAGATTGGTTGCCTGCCGCATGACCAGGGCTGGAGACAGAACCACAACTGAGGAACGTGCCCTTGACCGGAATCAAACCTGTGACTCTCTGGTCCGAGGGCTGATGCTCTAACTGCCGAACCAAACCAGCCAGGGCGAAGACTATGTCTTTTAAAAACTCTTCAGCTATTTTCTGGTCTCATAAAAAGCATGATGATATCCATCTCATTTGACTTAATTAGAATCTAACCTGTGCTTAGTAGTTGAGGCACACTCTTAGGACAGAGTTAATGCTGAATAACACACAGAATTTGGTGTGGGTTTTTTCTGTACATTTCACTGGGCTCATACATACATACATATATACATATACAGATGTCTGCATCTGTGTCCGTATCTGTCTACATGTACATCTGTATCTATTGATATCTATTCGTACACATGGATACATTAATTCCCTTATGGAATCATCCCATATATATTACTCAGACACTGTATAGTTTTACTTTAACAAATTCAGGATTATCTGAAAGATCTTCTGTTTTCCTGCCTTGTAAAATGGGGATGTGGAAACTTCACAAGAAGGAAAAAAATAAACTTTAAAAACGATTTCAGAGTTATCTTTTCTCTAGAGAGAATAATAAAGCTACCTAGCTTTATAGACCATGTAGAAGCCATAACGTTATTTAGTAAGAACAACAAAGTCTCCAGAGTATACGGAGAATGAAAGAGTTAGAACGTGAAGTAGAAAACCAGGAGCAGAAGTCGGAGAGACTGAAGGAAGATGCGAGAGTGGCGGGCTGTGCCGAGAGTGAGCGAAGAAGCTGGGAAGGGAATAGGGGTCTAGCAGAGTCATGGGAGCAACACTATGAGATGTGTTAGTCAGTGCTTTTCCTTTACAGCATCATTCCTTTTCACCCATTACTTTTGGTATTTAAAACAATATTATTTTGTAAATTTTCAACATCTCTAACCATAGTAACCTTTTAATATGCTCCATTCCAGTTTGGAGATGAAGTCAAGACGGGGACAGATTTTATTTTACCTTATTTATTTGTTTGTTTGTATTGATTTTAAAGAGAGGAAGAGAGAGAGAGAGAGAGAAACACTGATTTGAAGTTCCATTTATTTATGCATTCATTGGGTGATTCTTGTATGTGCCCTGACAGGGATAGAACCTGCAATCTTGGTGTATTGGGACGATGCTCTAAACAACCCAGCCACCTGGCCAGGGCCAGGTTGGGGACAGATTTTAAACATACATATTCAAACATAAAACTTTTGAAGAACATAATGATCTTTTTCTCTAGAGAGCCTCTGTTAGCTGCTTCCATGATGACTCATGAGATAAAATGCCCATTTGATTTGGCTCAACTGATTTTTTTTTTAATCCTCACCCAAGGATATGTTTGTTTATTTTAGAGAGAGAAGAAGGAAGAGAGAGAGAAACATCGATGTGAGAAACAGTTTGTTGCCTCTAGTAAGCACCCCAACTAGGGATCGAACCTGTAACCTTCTGATGTATGAGATGACACTCCAACCAACTGAGCCACCTAGCCAGGGTTCAACTAATTTTGTTGTTGTTATTAAGGCAAGTTATCCAACTTCTTAATGACTCAGAAATAATTCCGCTTGCAGTCAGGCGACAGAGTTCAAAAAGCACCTTGGGGCACTAGCAGTCTAGGTCTCAAGTTTCCTGTTTTAGGGATAACACTTTCATGTCAGCCCAGAGTAGAAGTAGGATGATTATGAGGAATTTTTCATATTGTTATTTTATGCTGGTGTCGCTTTTAGAATGTGGCCTTTTTGGGTCTTCTTTGAAATTAAAAGTGGCATGCTTTTTAGAAGAACCAGTCAGCATTTTTTGATATTATAGTTCCAGGGGACAGTTCTGAGTTTAATTTCTTTTTCTTTTTTTTCCCCCCAGATATGTGTCACAAAGATGTCTACACGGAACTGCCAGGGAATGGACTCAGTAATCAAACCCCTGGACACAATTCCTGAGGATAAAAAAGTCAGGGTTCAGAGGACACAGAGCACTTTTGACCCATTTGAGAAACCGACTAATCAAGTAAAGAGAGTGCATTCAGAGAACAATGCTTGCATTACTTCTAAGACCTCCTCCACCGGCAAAGAGTCTCCTAAGGTTAGGCGGCACTCCAGCCCCAGCTCGGTAAGTGTGGTCTTCTCTCTTACCAGTGGGTAAACAGGAGTAGCCCTCTTGGAGGAGTAGCTCGCTGTGCTGGACGAGGGGCAGGTGGCTCCATCAGTGCATTCTGATGCCCCTCCCCCGCCAGGGTGGCTTTATGTCTTGGAGGAGAGAGAGTGTGTGCTCCAGCAAACCACAGACAGACTCTATGCATAAGCACCCAGAAAACAAATGAGGAATGGTTCAGCTTAGGTTTGGAAAAATCACTTTTTATTCTAGTTGTTTTCAGTTAGAGGCATTTATAATTAAAACCCCTTTTGTATTTCAAATCCTTGGAGAGGATACTGAACTTTGCTGTGTGGGCAGTGAGGACAGTTTTGAATTTGGCAAGTCCACAAAGGATGTCATTTCAGAATAAATGTTCAAATTTGTTCACTTGTGTTATTCCGGTTTGTTTTCAGTGTAAATATAATGTAAGAGGTAGACATTGAATCTTCTTAATGACAAATCTCGTTATTTATTGTAGAATTTTCTAAACTCTTATCATCTTGCCTTTTGGCCTAAGGAGGTATAAAGATCTGAAGTGACTGCTGCTTTTGACTGAAAATTTTACTAAAATTCATATTTCCAAGACTGGCTTGCATTTACCGTTGTAAAAAATCCTTATGATCTTTTAAATTAAGTAATTTTCAGATGTAACTCACACTTAAGAACCTTTTGAATAGATGCTCTTAAAAGGTAAGAGGAAAATGCTGAGATAATTTTGACTCTGTCATCTTGCTAAGAAACACATGTCATTTCACAAGTTTTAAATATTAAATTCCATAAGAGCCAAAACAGAGCTAGTAATGTCAGCTGCTAGGCAAGTGTTGCCACTCCAGTTTAATTAAACTGTGTGACATTGTACAAATTTTGTGTCACATTTTGTGTTAATGAAGTTGAAATAAATGTCATTAATGCAACATTTGTGAGGAGAATTGATTATCTGGGTTTCCCCAAACTGGCCTCGTAATCTTGTCTATGTTTGCAAGGCAGCATCCGTCTGGGTCGCAGATACATTGCTCACTCCTGGGAGAACTTTTCGATTTAGTATCGTTTAGAAGAAATCAGAGGAGTTGTTGTGAATGATTAAGTCTGTATTATGGAAAGAGAATTATGTATTTTTCACTATATATTTATCTTAATATTATTATATCAACCTATAAATGATATATAGAAATGGTATTACAGTCAGGCATATTTAAAATTATTCATTATTTAAATGAAATTTAAAATGAACGAGTCCTGTTTTCTATCTGCAGTACTAGTTACAATCTACTGCGGTGCTCTTTCTTCTGTGGTTCCAACTGTCCCTGCCTTGGTCTTTGGGAGCCAGTGTCCTCCGGAGATGTCTTCATTCCCTTGTTTGTCTTACCTGCTTGCCTCCTGCGCCTACGGGCAATCTTGGCTTATATTGGACTTTCTAAGCCCCAGGCCTAGAGTCAGTTATTTCTCCAAAGAACACTGGTTCTACTTGCTGGAAAGTGGTATTTGGAAACCAGGATGTGGGTCCTGGGTATGCTTGTTGCTACTGGGGGGGTCATGTAGTTTTAAAAGTCAGCGTATACATCATAGTATATGCTACTGGGGGGGGTCATGTAGTTTTAAAAGTCAGCGTGTACATCATAGTATATGCTACTGGGGGGGGGGTCATGTAGTTTTAAAAGTCAGCGTATACATCATAGTATATGCTACTGGGGGGGTCATGTAGTTTTAAAAGTCAGAGTATACATCATAGTATATGCTACTGGGGGGGAGTCATGTAGTTTTAAAAGTCAGCGTGTACATCATAGTATAATGATGGGGTTTCAGTATTTGTTTGTTTATTTTTAAATGCTCATCTGAGAATATTTTTCCATTTATCTTCAGATAGGATGTGGGGTGTGAGGGACAGGTGGGGGTGAGGGGAGAAGGGAGAGAGAGAAAGAGAAAGAAGCATTGATGTGAGAAGGACACATCAACTGGTTGTCTCCCGCACAACCCCAACCAGGGCCAGGGCTCGAACTGCAACCGAGGCACGTGCACTTGACCAGAATCAAACCCGTGACTCTTTGGTCCTCGGGCTGATGCTCTAATTGCTGAGCCAAACAGGCCCAGGGCTCAGTATTTATTTTTACTTTTTACTAAGGAATTAATTAAAATCTTTATCAAGAAAAGTTGAGACTTATCTGATGCTCTCTCTATTTCTCTCTTTAAAGTTCAGTTCTATTTTTTATTAAAGTAATGCTTGAACGTAGCTTGAAAGATGAGAAAGGAGAGAATTCTGGGAGGTAGGATGGTAGTGGCATAGGTTTTGAAACTCCCCAATAATTAGAGCAACTAGTAGAGTAAAACCAAAGCAGAGGATAGCACCACCAACAAATGCAGGGTGGGGCAGAAGCAGGGTTACAGCTGTTTGTATGGAAAACAATACAGTGATTAATAAATGGTAGTGCAAGAATAAACTCCGTGTTTTGAGGACTCACAACTGTAAACCTATTTTTGGCCCACCCTGGGTAGCAGACCAGGTATCTCCATGAACCTCAGAATAGGAGTGAGGGAAACAAACCCCACAGTGTTAAGAACTGCATGGTGCCTGCCGTGTGAGGGAGGAAGCTCAGGGCAGGCAAAGGGACCAGTCCCTACACTCAGCCAGGAAACCTCCTCATTGCCCTCAGTGTGGCATCAGCTCACTGGGCCAGCCTTAGGACAGTGACAGCACTTGGGAGGGGACTTGGATGGCTCCTCTGTGTGGATGAGTGCAAGATCATGGAGTGGTCTGCTGGTCTTTCTTCTGTGACTTCTCTGACTGTCCTGTTGCTGCACCTTTGCGGGACAAAGTCCTGCACTGAATAGAAAGGGCTGCAGCAGACTTCTGTGCTGCGTAGGTGCAGTAGGTGCACAGAAGGACAAGGTCCGGAGACAAGTGTTGGAGAGAAACAGATGGGGGAAGGCAGTGTGTGCTGGATTGTCTTTTTCTTTTTTTTTAACTTCATGAAAATAAAGACGAAGTTTATTCCATAAAGCTAGAAAAGCTGTCTGGGCCTCACCCCTCTACTTTTAAACTACAGGACAATTCATGATACTTAAAAATAACCAATGGGAAAATTATTGGTTGGATCCCACACAAAACGATGAACAAAAAGGGAATAAGGAGCTGAATAACATTTTAGATAATGAAAGCAAGCGAGCAGGTTTTTAATGATATATCTGGAAAGTTCAAAAGAATCAATGGAACTGCTACAAAAAATGAGAGAAGTGACCCAATTAGCAACCTTTATAAAGACGTCTTCCCAACTGTGTGTATGTATCTCTGTGCTGTTCACATGCTGGTCATTCCCTCTCTCAGGAGTCATGACTAAAATCAAAGTCACTTTGGTGACCATCACATTCATCTGTACCTCCTGATTTTGTCCAGATAGTGACATTTTAAAATTCGGGCAAAATGTAAAGAATGAGATTTTATCTAAATTGGTGTATTTCAAGAAGTGTTTGACAGATTTTGTTTCTTTGTTTCAGACATTTTTTGGTCCCTGCTCTTTCTGGGCCTGGTCCCTGGTCGTGTTTGATACTGTCACCCACAGGCCAAACGTTCCCTTCCCTTTTCCTGCCTCCTCCAGCCAGCTGTGCCCTTCAGCAGCCAGGGCTGGGGGGCCTGCGTGCCGGAGGAGACCGCCTGCCTGTCCTGCTGGCCCAACTTAGAAGGGATTTTATTGAGCTCTGCTGTCATAATCTGCACTTAACGAGAACATAGTTTCAGATATTCATATTCAGATCACTGTCCAGATCACTATATATTCCAAAAATTCCTCAAAAATTTACCTCTTTTCATTACAAAAAAATGAAAAACAAATCTACATCCTATGATAGGCTGAGCCGATCCAGAGAGAGGGGAGGAAGGTGCCAACCTGAAAACAGTCCTCAGGTGGTCGTCCTCGGGGTCTCGTCTCAGCATTGCCTTGTCTTGTGGGGAACAGACAGTTCCCAGGGAGAACCAGGCCCCCTTGGCGGGTCGTCACCGCGCACGGTGCTCGAGTCTGTCCCCCTGTCTAGCATCTAGATCTGTTTTGTATCCAAGTTACCCATCAAGTATGGATGACCTTAGTGTGACTGTGTTGACTGGGACCGGAAATGCAGGGTGAGAGAGCCTGTCCTGGAGACCAAAGGCAGAAGGAGAAGCAGCCAAGGCAGCTGCCGCGTCATGAGGTCCCGTAGTTCCAATGGAATTCCTCCCACCTTAGCCCCACACCACCCTCACAGTGATAGTATAATGTAGTCGAGGAGCGGGTTTCACTTGTGTTTTCCTCATCAACAGCCTTAGTCAAGGGGTTATAATCTGTAGGTTAAAATCTGTTTTTTCGATGAATTCAGTATGAAACTGTGAATGTTCTTACAGCCATATCACGCTATCATTACAGTGAACCAGAGGTACACTCATGAAGTTTATAAATATAAATACAGTTCAAAAACCCATCCCTGCTCTTAGGAATAGGGTTTCAGTAGATGACAGACTTAATCATAGTTTAATGTCTCCTCCTCTTGAGTGGGAGTTTGGTCTCCCTGTAAATTCCACCAACATAGTAGTGGTAAAAAAAATCTGGTTTTGATTCCAGTCAACTTGGTTTGAATTCCTGCTCTGCCATTAGCTTTTGGATCTTTGATGAGTTACTTAATTTCTCCAATCTTGAAATTCTTCATGTTCAAATAGGGATGCTAGTAGAACCAACCTCAGGATGGTATTATGGGGATTAAATTTAGGTAATGTGTTTGAAGTGATTAGCTCAGGCCTGGCACATAGTAAATATTTGATATATTCAGGTTTTTGTTGGTTACACCAACAATGAACGAGAGCTAGCAAGGTCAGGGTCCGAACATCGTTCAGCTGGGGTATTATCTTCACTTTTTCATTATCCATGCCAATGTTCCCCTCCACTGATCCAGACAATTGACAGTTGTCTGAACCTTTATTTTGTTTAAAAAAGTATTAGCATTATCTCATTAAATTC